GCTCGCGCCCCCGCGCCCCGCCCGCAGCCCGGCTCCTTCTGGCTCGCGCGCGTGGCGCTGCTGCGCGGGGCCGCCCTGCTCTACCGTGAGTGCAGCGCCGTGCACCCCCCTACACTGCATTGCACTGCACCTGGAGCTGCCTCCTGCCCCCCCCCCCCGCATTGCATTGCACTGATGGTGCTGCCTCCCGCACCCCTCTGCAGTGCCCAGGTTCCCCCCAGCACCCTTGCTGCATGGTCCCTGCTGCCCTGGGGGGCTTTGCCATGTGCTCCCCCCACATCTGACATGTAATAACTTGCCAGGTGGGGTGCAGGTGGCCGCCCCCACTCTCGCCCTGCCTAGATTTTGTGATGTTCCCATCAGGGCGCACCCTGGTCCCGCTCCGCTATTCAGCGTGGCTATGGGGGAGGTGGCGGGGATGCAAAGTGAGAAAAGCGGGGCTGGACCTGGTGATTTGTACGGTCCCTTCCAGTCCATAGCAAGTATTTAAAGTAACTGTTGACTTGGGCTGGAAGGGCAGACGTCTCCTGGAAGTCCCCAGATGCATTTTTGAAAGAGGGAAAAACTCTCCCATGGGTGGGTCAGGCGGACCTGACTTTTTCACTGCAAGAATCACTGCTTTTCGTGGCTTGCTGGTGGCTGCAGATACCAGCGAATGCGGAGAATGTCTCTCTTCCTCTCTCTCTTTTTCAGCCTTTGGGGTCAAAACACCAGTTCTCCCATCCTTTACGCTGTGAAGTTGTTTCAGGTGATGCTGGTGGCTGGTTTCTGTTGCAAAATGCTGTTCCTTCTCCCAGCAGGAATTGAGCCACGTCCTGATGGACACCAGGGGATCACAGAAGTGGTCCGAGTTTGGTGTTGTCCCCGTGAAAAGTTACAGGGAGCAGCAAAATGGAAACAAGGCCTAATTCTACACATAGGCATGCGTGTAGCATCCCTCGTGTGAGTAGCTTGTTGCTGTATTTGCTCCCGGGAGTCATAGTAGGCAGGAGCGACCTCAGGATTTGGGGCAGCACAGTGAGAAGCAAACTGCAGCCTCATCTAAACTCCCATCTTTATATGGGAAGGATGAGAGTGATTGTCCTAAAAGGCTCATTTATGGCAAGGTGCAGAGCGGTCGTGCAGGGCAGGCTCCTGCGGCGCGTCGGTGGCCTAGGTGGAACCTTCCCTGGGTCTTAGGTCGGCACATGTACAAGGAATACCCATGCTCTTCTCCAGGTGATTTCTGGGTGAAAGTGCTTGCATTGCAGCATTCCTCCGGGCGGAGCCGATTCCAGGCCGCTGTGCTCCTTTGAACCCTTCGTTCTCCTTTGTTTTAACAACGATTAAAAAAGAAAAGAAAAAGTAATGCCCTTCATTCTTCTTCTTTTTTTTTAATCGTTATTAAAGGAATTCAATGCCCTTTTGTCACTTTTGCAGCCTATTATGTCCCCTCCCTCCCTGCCCATGGCTCTTCTTTATCTATAACTAATCATCACCTGGGTTTATACAATAATGGCAGCATCCTGCTTGCTTCAGGGACTTTGCACCCTCTGGCTAGGCCTAATGAGTCTTGTGGTTCTTGGCCCCGGGGGTTTTGGGGTAGGCATATGGAGGAAGAGCAGCAGTTAAAACTTCATTGTTAGGGAGAGTTTAGGGCTCTTCGTCTCAGGGCATTTAGGTGACCTACAGACATGCAAAGTCCTAGGGGAAATGAGGAGGGCTCTGGGGAGAGCTGGTTTGACGTTTCCAGGCCTTTATAGGCTTGTCGTGGTTGGAGGATCTGGTAGCCCTTTCCCCTACAAGAAATGCTGAGAGCCAGCTGAGCAAAAGGGAAATTTCTCGTAAGGCTTCTTGCACCTGGGCAGATCAGTTAAGAGCCTCTGGGGCTAAGAATACAGCCCTAACCCTTCCCATTGCTTTTGTGTGTGAAAACAAGCACTGAGGGAAGCAGCCTGAACCTGTGCTGTGCTCTTTGGGCCCTGGCCTCAGCCCAGGCAGTGGATTGCTAGGCGTCACAGCCTCAGCTCTGGGCAGTTACCACAGGCCCTTGGTGCAAGGTCTCCGTAGGGTCTGAGTCTCCCCCAGTCAGACTGAAAGCAGCCTTGCCCTTCCCCCTATGTAAATCCAGGCTGCTGAGTTTTTTCCAGTGGCAATTTGCAGTTTCTTATGCAAAGTTGATTAGTGCTGTGAAGGTTTCTGCCTTCTGAGCATGCATTGGAGCACTTAAGGCCACGTTTTAAGACTATCTGAGCATTTCAGACCCTGTCTAATAGTCAAAACTAATTTGGGTGTGTTGCAATATCCTAGAGCCTGCCGCCAAAAGGGTGGGGAGGGTTGCTCCATTGCGCCAGACACTGGACAGGCCTCATGCATACAGCCTCGTGAATTCTCCCATTCCCCCCGTGGTTTAACTGCTGGGCAGTGCCACTGTATGTGTCTGGTTCTTGCGTGCCGCCCCAGCACTGAAGCATCGGGGCTGTGGACCTGACTGACAGCAGGTGTTATCCAGCCTGCTACATCGAAGTGCACGAGCATGCACTTGTGAGACACGAGTGTAAGCTGTGCTGGGTTGGTGCACAGCACTGCCGGGGCTGTGGTATTAGCAGCTGGGAAGCCTTGAAGGGCTGGACCTGATGACCTGTAGGGTCCCTTCCAGGCCCTAACAACTATGAAAGCATGAAAGGGGATTGAGTCAGTTCTGGGGGTGCTAATACCACGGCACCGACAGAAGCTGATGCCAGTTGTCTTTGCTCTTAACATCCCCAAACCGCTTGACTCCTTTTCTAGTAGCAGCTCTGAAATGATTAGATGGCTTGCTAATGAAGTTGGTGTTTGCAAAGGCTGGTGCCATAACTGAGATGTGAGATGTAAGGAGTGTGGAGTGATTTTTTTTCCCCCTGCAGAGGTAGAGGGCTACAGCAGCAAGACTCATTGGGAGATGAGGGCGTGGCGAGTGGGCCAACTCAGAAGTGTCTGGGGAACGGGTGTGAGTGAGGAGCGCTTGGAGCTTTTCTTTAGCCCTATCAGACTTGCGCTGGGGGCCAGACAGCCCCGGCGAGGTGTCAGGTACAGGCCAGCATTGAGACGGGGCATAAGGAGATGGGAGCGAGCGCGCTGCATGCCATCCGGCACTCCTCAGGGGAGGGCCACCGTCCCGTCCCACCCGGTTCTGCATCCCCATCAGAGGAGTGCGTCTCGGGAGCTTGCAAGAAACCG